CCAGGTGAGGGAATGCACGGGCTTAACAGGATGCAAGCCATAATGAACGCCAGCGATGGGGCGGAGAAGTACCCCCCCAAGCCCAGAAACACCAGGAGGACCGGTCAATCCCGGGTTAAAAAGGCTCAGATAAGCTGGCTGGAGTGAGGAAACTTACAATTAGAAGCCGGTGTTGTTTGTAGGAATGAGTTCAGGCAGTTGGCGGTGTTGAGAAGGCCCTCGGTCCCAATTTAATCCCGGAAGTTGGTGCTCAGAGTCCCGGACGAAAGGTGAAGCTGGGACCCTGGCCCTTGGAGGGTGAATCTCTCGAGTCCACGGCACCAAATATTGTTCTTTAAAAAGAATGTGATGATGGGATGCCCCGGGCGGCTCGCAGAGCAGCTTCTAGTCCGACAAGGATGACTGTGGGTCCCTGCAAGATCACCAGGGTGGCAGCGCCATGCGGCTAGGGGAGTCAGGCAGGCGGTTATGGCGGATAAAAGGCTCACAGGACATAGTATTATTTAAAGAAGAGGGAGACATTTATTGCTTAAAGAAGAGAAAAACAGAGAGACGTAAGAGAAACATAGAAAAAAACAAAGACACATGTACACACTACAAGAGACAAACACAAGAGAGAGAAAAGATGGTGACGAGGGAGGTCAGAAGTGGCTGGGGTGGGCGTGGTTAGTCCTTAAAGTCACCGCAAAGGAATAACAGAGTTCATTTTTACATTTTGCAGGACATTAAGTTACAGAGGATTTAGCACACAGAATTTGGCAGTAAAGCAGGTAGCATTGCTGTTGCCTCTGTGAAACTTTATCTAACTCAGTGTGCCCTGAACTTCGCTATGGTTTGAAGGAGAAATGTCCTCCATAGGCTCATGCATTTGAACACCTGGTCTCCTGCTGGTGGCGCTGTTTGGAAAGGTCTCGGAACCTTGCTGGAGGAAGTCCGGCCCGCGTTTCCTGCTGTCTCTCTGCATCCTCACTCTGGCTGCTGTGTGATCTGTATCCTCACAGCTGCCATGCCTTCATGAATGGACTGAGGAGTCTGCATCCCCTCAAACAACAGAGAGTAAACACTTCTTCCTGGAGTTGCTTCTTATCAAGGATTTGGTAACAGAAAAGGTAGCCAGTACACTTTGAAAATATATCAAAATCAAGTTTTACACTAGTAAAGATTAATTTTACAAACCGTAAAAGTAACTTTACTTTTGCTGTGTACATTAATAGTCTTCTGAATTTATTGAAAGAAAAAAAGTTAAAAGCTAAAAATTAGATGACCTGTGCTGGGTCAGTTCAGCTCAGAGGTGGCTCGCCCAGCCTGTGCAAGGCCCTAGGTTCATCACCAGGACTACAGTAAACAAACACACCCATTAACACTCATTGAGAGAAAGCTAGGACAGCTGCACTGATATCAAACATGCATTTCCCGTGAAGAAATAAGAGGAGAGAGAGAGATCTTTTTGAATGATAGAAGAACTAATTTACTGGGCCAGGTTTATAGCTCAGTGGTAGAACACTTGCCTGGTATACATGAGTCCCTGAGTTTGATCTCTGGGGTGAGCGGTAAGGTCAACTTATCAAGATGATAAAAGCCATAAATGTTTATTTTCAAATGAAATGATTCAAAGTACATGAAGCAAACTGGCATAGTCTCTGTCTCCAGCTTATGGTTTGAGATGTGAGGCCTCAGCTGTTCCTGCCGCCACACCTTGGCTCTGCCCTCTGGACTCTAACCCTCTGGAGCTATAAACCCAATTAAATGTTTTCTTTTCTAGGTTGCCTTAGTCATGGTGTAATATCACAGCAATAGAACAGTGAGTAACTCAGATGCTGACCCTGAGAGGAGCTTGTTTGGGGCTGGGGGCTGGGATGTTACACATGCCTCAGCCTCTAACCAATCCTAAACCCATGTGAAGATCCTACGATGAGCTGGGAGCTGGGGAATGTGACCCTTTCTGTGTTGTCTTGTTTGGTCATCCAAAGCGTATGTGTTGGAATATCTTCCCATTGATCCAGGTGCTTGGGTGCTGTTTCCCCTGCAGGAGCATCCTTCTGTCGGCCTTGCTTTCTCACCTGTGGCTGGACAGAGGACCGTGGAGCAGCCAACACACAAGGCTAAGTTGGTGCAGGCCGAGAACATGCTGTTTGTAGAGCATCCTATGCATTTCACACTCATGGAGTAGCAGTCCTCCCTCTTACCAGGCACTTCTCCTGTTTTGTCTTCTTCCAGAGAGGGAGGGACAGCCTCGCAATAAGCACGTGCTTGTGGGGAGGTCATCACTGCTGGTAAGCTTCCTTATTTGCTTTCCGCAAAGAAGAGGTAGAGGAGGAAGAGAAAGGGGAGGGAAGAAATAATAGAACAGAGAGAGAACAAGGCCGGCTGCACATGCTCTGTCACAATCCAAATATAAGACAAAACGAGTGTAAGAGTCAGAACTGACAAGCATCAGAGGAAAATGGGAAATCTCATGTTTGCTTACTGACATTGGGGGTAAACTCAGGGCTTCCCTATGCTGAGTATGTCTACCACTGAGTTACACCCAGGTTAGGAGTTCTCAAATGAGACAAACCCAACAAAAAAAAGATAAACTGATTGGGAGTTGGAGTCAGGAGTTCAAGGCCATCATCAGCTATATGGCTAATTTGAGGCCAGCCTGGGCTAGGTGACAAAGCACAAATTGGGCTAATCTTTCTTCTTGGTGTCTGGCATTGGCTGTGGCTTGTCTCTTGTCCCCAACTTCTGGCCTATCGGCACCTCCCTCTCCAGCCACCGAGTTGTCCTTAGTAGAAATCAGCTTTGACAATGCCTAAATCCATTTGGCACACTGCGGGCATGCTGCTGGCAAAGCCAGTTTACAGAGTCCGCAGCCCACCACCCATAGAGTCTCCAGATGTCACCAAGGCAGGAATCTAGCCTTGCCAGGTCTCTGGCCCTTTCCTTCTGAACTCACTTCTGAACGAGGCAGTCGAGAGACCGATGGCCCCTGACAGTTGTCTCTGACGCGGTGAATGGCTCCTCTGTGCTCAGCTATTTCCTCGTGGCCTTGCAGCTCTGGTTCCTCTGAAACAGCTTTCCAGAGATCCTACATGTGATAAGGATCCCTCCTGGGCTCGTTTGATTGTTTCAATGAGAATTTGTCAGCAAAATGGAGCAGAGACGTGAACAGTGGGAGTCGGAGTCCCTACCCAGAACTACAAGTCCCTTTAAGGCAGATGGGCACTAGTGTCCACTGTGCTCCTGTTTGGAAGTGCGAAGAGGCAGGAAGTATATCTGATGGACAGAGCGGGAGAGACAGTGAAGGCTGTGTGTGGCTCCGTGCGGACCTACTGGACACATCTAAACTCGATACCAGTTCTGGTGAGGTGTGGTGGCACAGTCCTGACCTGTGACCAGTACCTGAGTGAGTGTAGTGGCGCGAGGCTGCTTTGGGCTGCTCACTGAGACTGTCGACCAGCAGTAGCCTAAACCAGTGCACTTTTATTCCTAGAGTATGTACCGCTAGGGATGCAGCCGTAGTCACAGCCTTAGGAGGTGGAAGCAGGAAGATCCGAGCTCCAAAGTCAGGGTCAGCTACGCGGAGAACTCCAGACCAGCCAAGACCACAGGAGAGCCTGCCTCAAAAATAAAATGCAGAAGAGTAGAGAAGAGAAAATAGCTGGAGAGATAGATGTCTTATCAGGTAATGGCGCTCGCTGCCAAGCTGGACTCCCAGGGCACGCATGGTGGAAGGAAAGTACCGGTTCTCAGCAGCTGTTCTCTGACTGCCACACACCACACTCAAACACCCAACATAAAATACACAAAATACACAATCAAAATCTGAAGATGTAGTCGCACTATGTAGACCAGGCTGGTCTTAAACTCACAGAGATCTGCATGCTTCTGTCTCCCAAGCGCTGAGAATAAAGGCACGTGCTACCATGACTGCCCCAAATAAATGTATTTTAAAGTATATGTACACACACACAGAGAGAGAGAGAGAGAGAGAGAGAGAGAGAGAGAGAGAGTACTGTCCTTGTAATTTGTTAATCAGTTCAACGTTCAACTCAGTCCCCATTTATTAAAAGTTTTTAAATTTTTTTATGGTGAGAAAAAGGTGTGTCTTGAATTAACCAGCTGGACTCAGTTTAGATGATGCCAATGGCAGGGATGGAGGAGGGGCGTGCCACCATCCCCAAGGAGAAGACAGCTTTCAAGAGTTGGTCCTCTTTCCACTGTGTTCGTTCCAGGAATCCAACTCAGAATTTGAGTTTGACTGCAAGTGCCTTTACCCTGAGTCAACTCTCCAGTCCTTTACAGAAAAGCCTGAACACATGTCTTCCACAGGGGCTTCCAAATCTTCTATCCCACCAGTGTGAAAGCGTTCCCTTGGCACAGGGAGTGTATTAGGCTGTGCCTTGTCTGGGTGCACTTCTCAGGGCTGAAGACCTTGAGCCAGTCTCTCCCGTGTTAGGTGTGTACTGTCCTAAGATTGGGAAGGGAAGGGCCGATGAGAACTGAAGAACAGGACAGACCCCAGAGTACTGACTAGGAGGGGCCAGGTCCGCGGCCGTCCCTGTTGAGGGATGAGTGAGCAAAACCAGGAACGTTTGGGGTTTTGTGAAATCTGGTTTCACAGGAGCGTGGGATAAAGTTAGAGTGGTGGGGAGTACATGTCTGGAGTCAGATTCAGGGGTAGGAAATTTGGTTGGTCTCAGAGGCAGTAAGGGTCAAGAGCACAGGTCCGAATTGAGCTATGGGCACCTCCTGGGGCGGCTGGAACTGGAGGAATAGGACGTGTTCAGTTACAACCTGGGGTCGCATAGCGGTAGGGTCCTAGAAAGATGTGATTGAAACACAGGGTCGCAGAGAAGGGGAATAAGCACACTCGGGGGAGGCGGGTGTTGCCTGTCGCTCAAGTTGCCTGTCGGTACTGGGAGAGTCCCGACCTCTGGTGGCACCGGCGGGAACGGTACCTCGCCAGACTTCAGTGAGCACCGCAGTCTTCATGACGCCTCTGTAGCACAGGAGCCATGGGGAACCACAAGGAAGGCTAAGTTCCCCTAGGTCTCACGCGCGCTTTCAGATCGGGGAGAGAGGCACCGCGACCACATCTGGACCGCCCTAGCCAGCGGCGGAATCCCACCAGACCACGTGAATTCTAGGGGTGGCCCCCCGCGCCTCCGCCTACAGCTGCCGTTGCCTTATAAGGCGGGGCCGGGCGGCGCCGGGGGAGTGGCTGCAGCCGCCCCTGCCCCTGCTGGCCCTGGCCAGCTGCTGGGATCCACCACCCTGCGCAGCGCAGCCGCCGCGGAGCAGAGGAGCGCACACAGTCGGCCATGGGCAAGTCAGGTGAGTTGCCCGTTTAGCCCGCGGGAGTGCTGGGATGGCTCCGGGACACTCGCTGTCACCCTGTCCCGCCTGGGGCCTGGTCCCCTGGGAATCCCCTGGAGTCCCCGCAGCTCTCGTTGCAATGCGTGACCCCTGAGTGGGGATGGAGAGCACGCGGAGCAAAGCGCCCAAAGGCGCAGCTGCGGCTTCTTCTGGTTCAACCTGGGAGCAGAGGTAGCGGAAAGACCACCAGGAGGGAGAGAAAGAAAGGAGAGGGAAAGCGATGGAGGGTCCTTCTGGCTTCGAGCCAGGGATTGCGTCAGGGAGGGTTTCCAAGCGCTGATGGGGATAGCTCTCTGAGTCTGCCGAGGCGTGGCTTTGCTTTGTTTCCAAGTGAGGACAAAGTTACAGTTGGAAAAAGTCACCAAACTGTGACAGCACCCGTGGCTGTGAAACAGCTAGTCCGGTCCCAGTCCCACTAAGGCGGCTCTGGGAATCCTTTTCGCTCTCTTTAGGAGCATCTCCTTAGTGCCCTCTGTGCCAGGCTGGGTGCTGTGCAGACCCGCTCCCCCTGTGATCTCTGCCCTGTTGCCGCCCAAACTCATCACTGTGACTGTGAGGTTGAAATGTCTGAAAACCAGCTTTCCCGTCGCTCCCTGCTTCCCGCCCCCTTTGCTGAACAGCTGTGCTGGCTGGCTCGCACTCAGGTTACTTCCCCTGGGTGTCCTGGCCCAGTCTTCACCACTCCGATTACCCAGCGGGAAACCCTCCCTGCCCCTCTGTGCTCAACTCTTCAAATCTGTGAAGGGGATCCCATCCCTAATGTCACCCTCCTCCTACAGAGGGACATCTCACACCCTGCATCACCTGCCCTCACTCCCACAAAGACAAGGGATAGGTGTTGGACAATAGATTTACTTCTCCCAGATTTATCCCTTCTGGACATTTTTTTGGGACATCATTTCTTCCTCACAGAAGGCTCTAAAGCCCTGGTTCTCAGCTTGTGAGTCGTGACCCTTTGGGGTGGAACCACCCTTCCACAGAGGTCGCCTAAGACCATCAGAAAACACAGATGCTTAAATTATGATTCATAAGAATAGTGAAACTACAGTTATGAAGCAGCAATGAAAATAATTTTATAGTTGGGAGTCACCACAACATGAGGAACTGTATTAAAAGGCCGCAGCACTAGGAAGGTTGAGAACCATTGCCCTAAAGGAACAATGAAGTCAATGGGCTGTCAGTCCCAGATGAGGAAGGCTGGTTCCCTTCTTGGGTCTGTCCTCCAGGACCAGGACTCAAGAGATGCACAGGAAATGGCCTCCGTGACCTGGTCCTAACCTGCTTTTCCTCCAACTTGAATGACAGGCCTGGTTTGCAAGGCTGGCCTTACTAATCATTTGCTACGTGATGTGAAGTAAGGTCTTCCTCTGCATCAGTTTACCCATCTGTACAAAGAGGGTGACCCATATGACCCCCAAGATCCTTTGCAGTGGAAAGGATGATGTCACATAATTAAAAGAACGAGATGAAAAATGGGGCAAATGATGTCAGATGTGAGAAGGACTTTTGACATCTCTACTTGAAAAAATTAACTCCTTCCTCTCTAGACTTATGAGGCAGTCCAGGGATTCTCTAAAGCTGCGTTTCATTTTATTGATATCTATTGTTACTATTACTGCTATAAGACAAGATCTCATTGTGGACCTCTGTCTAACCTGAAACTCACTATGTTGACCAAACTGATCTCAGACTCACAGAGATCCATCTGCATCTGTACCTCTCTGGTTGCTGGGAGTAAAGGTGGACCACCCGCCCCACCCCCACCCCAGCCCCTAAGATACATTTTGATTGATTGTTTCCAGCCCTGCTCTAAGACACAATTTTCTACAACTGCACCTGTGCCATCATCCTTCTACCTGCTCTCCCCCATCTGTCTCTGTGTCCCCTCCCTCCACATCTGTCCTTTCTTCCAAGCTGTGGACCCGGTGCCACGGAGGGCCAGCCAATGTTTAGGAAATGAGGGAGGATGGTGGGGGAGAGACTTCGGTAAGAGGTGGGAATGATCTTGATTCAGACCATGAAGGGAGGTGGGGGAGGCACACGAGAGAGGTGTCCTCTGTGAAGACCATCAAAGGAGTGTGAAGAAAGTGACCCATTCTAGAGGGTCCTGGGAGGTTCTGGGTCATCTTAGGGATACGGGGTGCCACTGAGCAGGGTGGGAGAGACTAGAGGCTGGGAGCAGAGAGATTACCTCCCCACAGACAGGGGTGGTGCAAGCACCTCGGGCCTGGCTTCTGAAACTGTCTGCTTGCAAAAGAAGTAGTTTTACTCAATAAACTGTTAAACAACTCCAGGTACACAGGCATGTAGAACAAGTATATGAATCAAATATTTGCTGATCGTAAATCACACAGAAGCTTATTTTATTATGTGTGTATGTTCTGTGTGTGTTTGTGTGTACGTGGGGTGGGTGTTTGTGTGTACGTGGGGTGGGTGTGTGTTTGAGGGCTACAGGTAGACAGTGGGTGTCGTCTTCAGTTACCCACTTCCTTATCTTTGGAAGCAGGGTCTCTCACTGAACCTGGAGCTGACTGACTCAGCTGGACTAGCTGGCCAGCAAGCCCCAGGATCCTCCTCTCTCTGCCTTTCTAGCTCTGGACTACAGGCATAACCGCTGTGCCCAGTCGTTTCATTGTGTCGTTGTTGTTGTTTCTAAGCAGGGGTGCTGGGGACCCCAACTTTGATCCTCACGCTTGCATGGCAAGTATTTTATCAGAAGCCACTTTCCCCTGCTTTAAAAGAAAAGAAACTTATTTTCAAACAGTTCTTTAGGACACACACACACATTTGAGACAGGGTCTCACTAGGTAACCTTGACTGTGTAGACCAGGTTGGACTCAACAAACTCACAGAGACTCACCCACCTCTACCTCCTGAAGTGCTGGGATTAAAGGCCTGTGTTATCTATCATGCCTGTAGTAAGGAGACTGCTTGTTCATTCCCGGCTGCTCAGCCCTGAAATAATCACACAGAAACTATATCATACAAAACACTGCTTGGCCCGTTAGCTCTAGCTTCTTATTGGCTAACTCTTACATCTTTATTTAACCCATTTCTAGTAATCTGTGTATCTCCACGTGGCTGTGGCTTACCAGCTAAAGTTCCATCCAGCTCCAGCACGGCTACAAGGCTTCTCTCTACTCCACCTTTGTTCTCCCAGCATTCAGTTTAGTTTTCCCTGCCTACCTCTGTTCCACAGCATACAGAGGGAAATCACACATCACACGCCCAGTTTATTGTTGGAACTTCTGTCCTAACTCAAGACAAAATTCATTCAATGATTTTTTTAGTTTATTTTTTGGTACGAGGGCTTGAACCCAGGGCCTTGTACATGCCAAGCAAGTAGTGCTGAGCTACATCCCTAGCTCTTCAGAGACTTTTTATGACCCTCAAGTGAGTAACTCAACAGCAATTTTTAAAACCAAGCTTTCTAGGGCCAACAAAATGGGTCACTGGATAAAGGTTTTGCTGCCAAGCCTGAGGACTCGAATTTGACCTCCGTAACCTACACAATAGGGTGAGAGAGTCAACTCCCCCAAGCTGTCCTCTGACCTCCACACACAGATCTGAAAAAAAAATGTAAATAAAAATAAATAAATTACAAACTCAAGCATTCTAACAGGACTCAATCCTCAGCTACGCTAACTTGACTGAGAAATGGCAGTAGGAAAATACTATGCTTTCTGTAATTACCATTATATTTCTATAAGAGCAGAATGTTTTGTGTGTGCAATAAAGACACTGAAATCCATAACAAATGAGCCGAGCTCCTCAAGAAGTGCCAGGGGCAGCGCCTGGTGTGACAGTGTAGATGCAGTGCACAGCGGTAATCTGGTGACTTGGGAGCCAAGGCTGTGGAGAGACTGACCAGACAACCTGTAAGGAACTATCAGAGGCACCTCAGTTTCATTCTCGTGCTTGAGTTTGAATCGAGTTTTGGTAGTCGCACATTCAGAAATCTTTTATTGTTGCCGACCGTTTCGCCACCTCTACATTCAGTTGTGTGCCAGGGAAGCTGTGGTCTAGGGCAAAGTTGGGAACCAGAGAGGAGGAAGGATGGACTTGCCAGTGGCGATCTTGGGCAGACTTGATGACAACTTTCAAGGAATAGAAGGGAAGATGAGATGCATAAGTGTGGCCCGAAAGCGATGCTGGTGCAGATTGTGGGACCAGAAGCAGGTTGCGGCAGGTAGAGCCAGGTGCCCCCACTCACTCGCTAGCTCTCTCTCCCAGGCCCACGTCCTTCATAGTCACACATGACTGCATCTTCTAAGGTCCCCAGAGAGAAAGTAACTCTTCTGGATGACTCAGACCCAGTGAGCCTGCTGCACAAACCCAACCCTGAAGATCCAGGCCCCAGTCGAGGCTTCGGGGAGGTGCCTCTCCGCAATACCCATTTACGTGGGAGTTCTATCCGGCTCCCAAAAGGCCATGTAAGGAATCAGTCCCTGCCTCATTGGGCCGCAGTTTGGCCTCGTGGAACAGAACTCAGATACACCCCAGAGCTTCAGGGTGAGTGTGAGAAATCCCCTAACGCCATCATACAACTGCCAAGGCTCAATCCTAGAGAGCTTGGGCTGGTGCTGGAAGTTCTCAGTCCTGCCTGCAGCCCTGGTCTCCCTGCATGGCCTCTGTACACCAGGTGTGCTCAGACCTAAGATTGCAATAACCCTCTGCCTTGAATAATAGTGATCGTCAATCATTTGGCCTCTTGTTGTATGCTAGGCCATGGAGTTAGGTATTTTATGTTACTAACCTCTTCAGCAGCACTCTAGGCCATGGCCTCGTCATATTATGTCGGGACCAGTATGTGAACAAATTAGGATTAGAATTTAGCTCTGACTGGTGTCTGTGTGTGTGTGTGTGTGTGTGTGTGTGTGCGCGCGCGCGTGTACGCGCACGCGCGCGCACAGAGCCTAGCCTTCTGAACTGTGTGCTTCCACAGCACACTGACCACA